TTTTAACCACAACCCATTCTTTGAACAATCCAGTGGAAACTACCTACTCTTTGAAAGTTTAGTAGAAACAGGTGTAACGCTTGGCTGGAGCGTGTCCGAGTTCCCGAAGTACAGAGTGACATCAAAAGATACAGAATACAAACAAGTTACAAAATTTTCTTTTACGTCAGTTAAAGGTTACATATCTATACCCATTTCACTATATGACGCTAAGCATGCATGCCCATCACAAGGAGAGTAGGCTGTGTGGACAAAAGGGACCATATGCTAAACTGACTAGTTCAGGGAAGGCCTGCATGGCGGTTGTACAAACTCAAAGACCTAAAATAACCACAAAAGATGGTCTGAAATTAAATATTTAACTGCAAACAGGTTATGGTGGGTAGTCATGTCCTAGGCCAGTATTTTTCCTGACAAAAATCAACTTAAATCTTTACTGAGCCCATTTGTCTTTTTGCCTCTAAGATAACATATTTGTGAGATGACAGGGTAGCTTGTAAGTTCCCTTTTTTCCAGACCCCTCAGGGCAAAACAAATGTAACCAGGACATTTCTTCATTGTTATTGTTATCAAGGTAATTGTCAACTGTTAATTATGTAAAACTAGCCTGTATTCATCTGTGTAAAAGAAGAACATGTCCATCATTTTACTTTTTACCCTATCCTAGAGGTTTCCTCACTTTGCTTTATCCCACCTCCCTAATCTATCATCAATGAATTTCATGTAACCCACCTATGCCTTTTTTTATTATTATTATTGCAATGTATAAATACAGATGTAACCCGCCATTCTCCGGAGCGTTATCTCAATTTGTTTAGGTTCTGCTTCCCGGCATATGTTGACAGTTTGGCTCAAATAAACTCACAAAATTCTTTACAGGTTTCAATGGTTTTTTTATGTTAACAGCATGTAAAGTCATTATGATGTAGGGTGGTGGTTGGCAAAGTAGGGCCTGTGGATCAAATCCTCCCTGCCAGGATTTGTATGAGCCAGGCTTATTTGAGTGTCTGTTTGTATGGCTACCTTCACACTACAAATGGCAGAGATGAATAGTTGGGACACAAACACATTTGGGCACTCTCTGAGCCTTTAAAAAAGTTTGCTGATCCCTGATCTAGGACATGGCTGAGCCAAAAACCTTATCTCTAGGACTGTATGAGCCAGTGTAAAATCATGAATTTAATTGTCCTGGAATGGGATTTTTTTGAGAGTGGAGGTTGCTGCTGACAAGAACACCATTCTATGTGCCAAGTTCCTGCCTTTCCCCTGCTGCAAAGAGAAAGTTCTTTGTTTGGAGTATTGGAGAAGTAACCACCATAACTCAAAGAACATAGTTAGTAATTACCAGAATCGGATGTTAAAGAAGTCCTCAATTGACTGAGAGCAGAGATTGACTTATGAGAATAGACCCTGCAGGCCCAGCTTAATTTTTTTATTTCCTTTGATTTCAGGGAAAGGAGAAGTCACCTCTGGACCCTCGACCTGGTTTTGTCTTTGCCCCAGTGAGTATTGCTTCTACCTTTCCCAGCATGCAAAGAGCTGAGCTCAGCTGTGTCCAGGGCAAGTGACAGGGCAAAGCTAAGCCTCCCTCCACTGCTGTGTGTCCTGATCCGATTTCTTCTTAGTGGATCCCCTGCTCTCCCTACACCCTACTCCTGTGGTCCCTTACCCCTAGCCCTTCCTGACCCTAGCACCCTTAGTTTCCCAGTTTTATGATCTGTGGTTCTTTCATCTTACCTCATATTTTTCATGTGTGTTTACAGTGTCCCCATGAACTTCCTTGTCCCCAGTTGACAGCCTCTAAGCCCCTGGCCTGTAGTTTTTCCCAGGCTTACCATCCCATCCCCTTCAGCTGGGTATGTACCTGGGAATATGGCAGCAGGGAGGAGGTAGCTTGGGAAAGCATGATGAAAAAGAACCAGGTGGGAGGAGTTGGAAAATTCTGAGAGCGTTTGTAGGGCCTGAATGTGCATGACCTAGAATATGTAAAGGGCTACAGGAATGGGGGTCAACATTTCCCCCATATTTTTTCCCCAAAAACAGTCCCTCTATCCTTACCTTAGAGCAAGAAGCCAAAGGAGGAAAAGTTCTCGATGGTAATCCTTGCCCGGGGGTCTCCAGAGGAAGCTAATCGCTGGCCCCGGATCACTCAGCCTGTCCTTAAACGGCCACGCCATGTGCACTGTCACCTGTGCTGTCCAGATGGGCATATGCAGCATGCTGTGCTCACAGCCCGCCGCCATGGCAGGTACGGAGGCTGTGACCACAATTAGTGGGAGGTGGCAAGAACCCACCCCCCACATTGACCTCTCTTTTTCATAGGGATTTGTATCGCTGTGCCCGTGTCAGCTCCTGGGGAGATCTTTTACCTGTGACCACGCCGTCTGAGCTTCTTCCGTCCCCTGTTGAAGATCCCCCTGAGAGTTAACAAGGATGTGTAACAAGAGTTTTCTTGCATCGTGCCTGACAAGGCTAAAGCCACCTGGTATCCAGGATGGGAGTGTAACGAAAAACACAGGTTTGAATGCCTGCCGCAAGGAAAGCCAAACTCATGAGGCAGATGCAAAAGGAAAGAAGTTTTATTCTGGTGCTGCTCAACCTGGGAGAATGGTAGACTTCTGTCTCAAAGACCACCCCCGCTTCCTGCTCAAGCTGTGGTTCTTACAGGAATAGGGAGAGAAGGGCTTTTTATTTTTCTACCCAATTATTTTGCTAGCTTACAGCTCGCTGGGGCCCTGTCCTTTCACATTTCGAGCTTTGGGCCCCGCTCAGGCCCTGTCCATTCATCTTCCTCGAGTCCAGTCCATTGGTCTTTTTAGCTTGCCACGCGCCGGGGCCTGTCCATTCATCTTTCCAGCCTTTGGCGCGTTCAGTGTAAGACCCGCCCTCTGCGCCATTTTGGCCAATGAGGAGACTCCTCAGCGCTCCAACTGACTGTTCACGGTAACAGGAGTGCTGGTACTCCTATATATCTGCATTTGTTTGAGGTTTTAATAAGAATTATAACTTTTCAAAGAATGGGAATAAGTCTTGTGATTCTTAAAAGGTATAGAGGTCAGTCATCACGGCCTATCCAGTAACGAAGTGAGTCCTCAGAGATTCAATGCCTGTCTCCCCACAGAAACCTCAAGCTCAGCCCCTCCTGTAAGAATACTGCTGCTTCTCCCAGAGACCGGGACTTCCCAGGGAAGTAATGGGTAGTGGGGAACGCCGTCCCCAGCGCTCTGAGAACTGGCTCAACAGGTCTCAGGGTAGTTAGACGGGCCACCTGGATAGGTGACCAGCAGCTGCCTGGCCTCTGTTTTTCTCCCTCCTTCCTTTCCTTTTAGCTCTCTCAGGGTTCATCAGCTCCCCAGAGTTTGCATCATGAATGTCCCTCAAGAAACTATCCCTTCAGGACTGAGTCATCTATCTCAAAAACGGTATGTCCAGGCAGAGTCTTTCATTTACTTGGTTCATTTCTGTGTTCCCCTAGGCCTTGCTGTTTCAGAGCTAGAGCAACTTTCTGTGTAATAAAACTCTCAGTCCCTCTCCCACAACGTATATCAGGAAGTAGGCACAGTCAGAAGTGGTAACAGTTTCAGTGTTGTAATACTAGAAATCTCAACTCCCATAGACATTTCCATACCTGGAGCTATTTTTCTGGGGTTACAGGCAAGGGGAGTCCCCTCATCCACTAGTTCCCAGAGTGGCAGCAGCACCACTCCTTAGCCCCACCTCCTTCTTAACCCCGGTGGCCCCAAATCCCCTCTGAAAGGGTAAGGTTCAGGTATCAGCATAGCAGCCTATAAGACTTGCATTGGTGTGGGGAGGGTATGGAAGGCTTAGATCAAATGTCCTGAGTGAGCCAGGACCAGATTGTCCCCAACACAAAATAGCTGGGAAGTAGCACCATAGACTGTGCCATTTTAGATTAGACCAGCCCCAGGCATGAACTAAGTCAGTCCACAGCCCTTGGATTAGTCATGGAACTGAAGAGAAGACAGCACAGGGCTGTGCCTGGCAGGGAGTCTGGAGTTTCTGGTTGCCAAGTTCAGAAGGCATGAGCCAGGGGAGGGGCCTCCATGTAGGGGGAGGGCAGGAAGATGAGGCAGGGCCCCAGTCAGCTATGCAAGGCTGCGCAATCAGGCAGCACAAAACAAAGAGAATCCAACAGCTTCCTGAGGCTCAGGAGTGGACACTACAGCTTTGACCACCTAAGGCACCACTCCTGCTCCAAAGCTTGTAACTCCGTTTGTCATTCTGAGGTCTGCTTATCCTGTACCCCAAGGATGGAGCCAGTGCTAGAAGTAAAAATTGGCTGCCTCTTTGCCATGCTGGTTGTCACGCTGGTTTGTGGCCTTATTCCTATCTGCTTCAAATGTTTCCAGATTGAGACATTCAAAGGTATAGCCCTTCTGTATCTTTGCCCCTATAACCTGACTCCAACCCTATCACCCTACCCTGACACTTGCTCTGATTCTCTTGCCATCCCCATGCTTGGATGTTGAGTGCTCCGTGTTGCTCCTTAGTCACCTTTGTCCATCTCCTCATTGCCAACTGGTTGTAACTCCTGCTTTTCATTAGGTCAACTCCCGCGGGGCTTCAGCCTCTTGAGCTGCGTTTCTGCAGGCATTTTCCTGGGAGCAGGTTTCATGCACATGACTGTTGAAGCCCTGGAGAATATTGAATTCGAGATCCGGCAGCTCCGGGTGAAGGTGAGCAGCTGAGGTGTAGGGCTAAGAAGCCAGATGATGAGCAGCAGAAAGGGGAGAAAGTGGGGAAAGTGATGGAGCCAAGGACATGGGTGGAACAATAGAGACAATGACAGCTCTGTGTTGTGTGGTGGAATTATGACAGGTCAGATTAGACTGTAAGGAAAACAGTGGAGCTGAAGGGACAGGGCAGGAAGCTGAGCTGCTCCATCCCTCATCGAATTTCTGCTTTTTTTTCTCCCTAGAACAGTGGAGGAAATTCTTCTGGATATCCTAATTCAGCTTCTGTAAGTATCTCTCACACCCAACCTGGAGGGTGAGGCGAACCAGAGACTCTTCATACCCAGATCCTTTTGAGGAGAGGACGTGAGGAATACCAGGAATCCCTCTGCTCCTCAGCTCAGACACTGTAGGGAAAGGAGGAG